TTTTCTAATTTAATCAAAGATTCAAAAGTGCCTAGTACTATTTTAAATGTCTGCCTTATTCAATATAACGTTGCTCTCCCTCTCTTTTTTAATAATAATTTCAGCATGTCACGCGATTACCTGATCACATTTGTCACACGCAAAAGGTAAATGCCCCAAAAGGGATTGGCTTCATAAAACAGCATTATTATTATTATTTATTAATCATCCCGAAGCATTGCTTTTTTAACTTTTGATTCTATTAAGGTTATTGGGAATAATTTCTCCGGTCCGTTGAAATTTGTCTAATTCCTGATAGTAATTAGTTGCAGTGTCCAATTCATTTGATTTCTTTCACGGATTTATCAAACTTATCTCACCTACCTTTTTAACTATTAAGCATATTTCCTACTTATAGATAGGAGTACATTATTCCAAAGATGGGGGGACAGGTTAGCTTTGAAGATTAGCTAACAATTCTATAGCCCACAAAAGTTATAATTTTCATTCAAATGAAATAGCCAATTAATTCCTAAAACGTCTTTGTAGGGACCTCTTAACACTTAAATCCCATGCTCACTTGTATTTGCGGTCAAATTTTAAAGCAAAACAATGACATGACTTATTTTCTCCTCTTCCCATGCTACAAAGTTACTCAAGCTTCAAGTGGGTATAATACACATTACATTATAGCTAAATGTGACCTAGCTTATCTTTGCATATATATATATATATATAAGGTTTGAATTGTTTTGATAGTTAAAACTTGCTTGGTTTCCTTTCTTGATTTTTCCATGGAAATGAACATTATATTGTTGCTTGTGTGCCTAATTTCTTTCATACGATTCGGTCAATCGGACCCTGAGCCGCTCAACGATTATTGTGTTGCTGACACTAAAAGCAGTCGCGATTTTTTCTCAAACGGCGTGCCATGCATCAATCCAGACGACACGTTGGCTTCACATTTCGCCACATCGGCACTTTCAAGGCCCGGCAAAATGAATCAATTCGGCTTCAACGTAACCCTGACAAATGTTAATAACCTACCAGGGCTCAACACTTTTGGGTTGGTCATGGCACGAATCGACATTGAGGTTAACGGCCTCGTGCCACCTCACTCCCACCCGAGGGCATCGGAACTCGTCATTTTGCAAGAGGGCTCCCTCTTAGTTGGTTTTGTGGATACTACCAACCGTCTCTATACGCAGATATTACGTCCGGGCGACTCTTTCGTTTTCCCAAAGGGCCTAATTCACTTTCTGTATAATACTGATTTGGTGAAACCGGCTTTTGCTGTGTCGGGACTCAACAGTCAGAATCCGGGGGCTCAAATATCGTCTCTTGCCACGTTCACATCGAATCCTAATTTGCCCGACGATGTGTTGAAGAAGGCCTTCAAGATAACTGGTCAAGATGTCATGAGAATTAGGAAGAACCTTGGAGGATGAAAACACAATTAAGAGTCATGTACTTTTTTATTTATTGTTAATAAGTTGCTTGTTTGCAACAGAGTAATTAGATTTTCTTAAATTTCTAAGTAATCTAGTTACTCAATCATCACCATTGCGCAATAAGTAGGGAAGATGCAAGAGGCACATAAAATGGACTAGTGGCCATATTTTGCTTGAATTTCTACGTTTTGTCATTGAATGTTGTGGCCGTCGATTTGTTAAAAAAATTACCACTGACATTTTGTATACGTTAGTTTATTTAGCATTAGACCAATTATCAGTTAAAACTATAGATCTTCAATTTATTCACTTTTTCGAAAGGAAATTTTTTATTGCCCCAAAGTCGTTAAAAAATAATAAAAATTGCCAAAATGGTAGAGCCTTGATGTTACAAGCCTAACTTTGAGGGTCGGCTTGGCACGTTACCCTTAGTATGCCAAGGTACGGTAGGCGCCGATAAACTGTGTGCGCAGCGTCAAGTAAAGGAGGAATGATTAACAGTCTAAGAGGTTCCGGGCTATCTTATGAAAGACTCGAGTTGAAGTTAGGCATGCTGGACCGAATGGAGGTTCAGTCGAGCATTTTGGTGAGCAACGAACACTTGTGCAATACTCAGCATTTTTAAAGTCCAGTGGGTAGATTCCAGAAATGGACTTTTTCCCCTTCTTGGGGGAGATAGTGTCTCAAAATGTGGTGATAAGGATATTAGTACCGGCTCGACTCAACTGGATAAGGACCCATAGAATCGGGGTCGAAGGGACCATGGGATTGAGCCAAGGTCGAAGATGGTCGGAGAATCGACCGGCTCATAAGTCGAACACATGGACCCTTGGCCAGGAGGGTAGAATACCGACCCATGGCCTAAAGGGTAGAACACATAGATCCATGGCCCGTAAGGTAGAACACATAGACCCATCGACTAGAGGGTAGAACACATATACCTATGGCCCAAAGGGTAGAACATACATAGACTCATGGCCCGAAGGGTAGAACACATAGACCCAGGACCTGGAGGGTAGAATACATAAACCCATGGCACATCTACCCTTGGCCGAGATTAAGGGCCGAGTGTCGATATGCACGGTAGAACGGGTCGAGGGGGTGTCGACCCACTCAGGCGGACCGCAAGGCAGCAATGAGGTGAACCTAGTGTCGACCCATGTATCCTAGTATCGACCGGCCTACACTAGGTCGATAGATGCCCAAGTGAAAAGGTGATCCGTACAATTAAATGCTATATATACGTTAAATACTATAACAGAAAAAAAAGATCTCATTATTACTTTCACTATCACAATTTATTGCTCCGAACTCTGTCTATTCGGCGATACTGAATTGGGCATCGGAGGGTTTTGCGCCGGAGCAATTCTGACGCTTTGCAGGTACTGGCGAACTCAAGTGCATGGACTGGACCACACCCACCGACCTACCATTCAAATCGAAGAGGACCTGGCGAGGAACTGGAGTCATTCGTCTTGGACCTTATCATGTGGGGTCCAACCAACTCGCCTAGTTGGATCAGATATGGATCGACTCGTTGACCCTAGTTCAATTCGAATTTCAAAAAATACCGCCAATTATTAAAAAAATTAAAAAAAAAATAATAAAGGTAAAAACGAATTATTTAGGCGAAATTTCTACTTCTATTTCAAGTAAATACCAAACCTTTATATAGATATAGATGCTAATAATTTAATTGAGCAGTATTTGTGCAACATATTTTAAATAATAGAGCATGTTTGTAAATGAGTAATTCAATGATAAAATAAATCAATATTTTCAATAAAGTAAGCTCAAGTTAGTTCAACGCTAAAAGAAGTCGCTCTTTTCCAAAGCTCAGGTACGTTCCTTTCATTTGGTGTTCTAGGTAAAATTTGTGTTATCTGGGGCGAAGAAGTATTGTGGACATATAATGTATGATCATAGGAGCTATGATTTTTCATTTTTCTGTACATATAATATATCATAGGAGCTATGAATTTAATCGCGCCTTGTGAGTATTAGATGTTGCAGTAAAGAAATATACAGTTTGTGGTTTTAAATTTATTGAAACAAGCTTCAACAAGAATATTGAAATTTGAAAGTAAACAAGATGCAGTTGGGAATGAGAAGTCAAGAATAGAGATGACGGATAATGATAAATTTGATGAGCATCCGGACCGATCGTATGCAACCCTGGCATCAATAATGTCCATATTTTAGTTACAATGTCACGTCTGCTATTGCTAGTCTAAAGCATTGGCCTTGTTTTCAACATCACGTTTTTGTACGTGAATATTGGTCAATTGATAAAAATAATTAAATTCAGTGCAAAAGAGACCAAATGGAGTGTAGACAAATTTTTACAATCTGGCCAGTGACATGTAATCTAAAACCTTTCATCCTTTTCAATCTGAATAAACCAATACCTTCATAAAGTACAAGACCAATCACAACCTACTCCAAATTCATTTTAACATTTTGTGTTCAGCTGCCAAAAACGCATTGTGACCTGCTCTGCAGATATGTACAGAAATAAAAGCAACAGCCAAAAGGGAATTTAATTCGATTTTACGTCCGCAAATGGAGGAAAGGGTAAAAAAAGAGCAATATCAAAACTGAGGAAGCGTTTGGCAGCAACTCTTATTAGTCTTAACCGAGTGTTTGTTTGAAAACTGGATTCTTGATTTTCTCGACTTATGGAAGCACAGTTCTCAACTCTTTTCGGTCAGCACCAAATGACTGCACCAGGAAATACAAGTAATTACTAATGTGAGAGTTTGTATCTAGAAATATAGTAAAGATTTTAGAGTTTAAAAAGTTCCAGCACAAACAAACTGAACAATTATCTATAATATTACCCAATAATCATCAAATTATACACAAATGGAGAAATTGTTTCGGTGGTGTGGGTGTGTGCAGAGAGAATCAAAAGAACATAGCAAGCACTAAGGTAGACATGGATCGAAGAGGTTTGCTTCATCTAATAATACCATCAGACTACAAGGTTTTTTGCATAGTTTATTTGAAAGATCATATATAATTACGTGTTGTCAGATCTTGACAAAATCTTTCTACAGCTTCACAATGGTAGATCTTATTCTGATAATAAAATAAAGTGTTTCAGTAAAATAGGATGCTGAGCTTTTAAGATGATAGTAGTGGCAGTTCTTCATTAAAATTTGTCAAAATAATTGGAAAGAATTAAAGAACACTGAACATCTCATCTGAAAATAAACATCAAATCATCTTATAGACTTAGTCGTAGGCCCCCTCATGAGATGAAAAATATGAGCAAAACAACCAATTTGTAATCAGGGCTAAATGCTGCAATTCTGCCCATCTGAATTTATTTCATCCAAGCATGAGACGACAAGTAACAAAAAACTCATCCAACGAGAAGGTGCCAACTAAGCAAGCATTGTTTCATCATGCCACAATAATATTAATTATTATAATAATGACTAGTACACTGATATGTACAATGCACGTATTTATAATATAAATAAAAAAGACAATATATTATTTAAAATTATTATGTTTATTTATTTATTGTCATGACATATTTATATCATTTTAGAGTTTACAGAACTTAAGATTTTTTAGTTGTAAAACTTAATGTTATGAAATATTTTGATTTTTACTGTTGACATAGAAGTTCGACAAAACCATTATGAAAAATCCTATGATTTTTTCTCGAGTCAATAATTCCATGGTGACTGGACAGACCACCCCGTCAATTTATTTTTTTCAGGTCATGTACTTGATGATTCAAAGAAATAATTCAAATTTTATTTCTTTTCGTCTAGTATCATGTTCATCGTGTTATTTGTCTCTAATTGTGTCGTGTACGTGTTACGTGTCACCCATTGTCAACTCTACATTTAGGACATTTATTATTTTTAAATTCATATTCATAGATAAATACGAACTAGTATTCATTTATGTGCACATGAACAAAGACAATTAAAAATTTATATATTATATGCTTCATACAATATTTAAAATTTTAAATTAGATAATGTATGGATTACACTATAAATTTTTTGACTATATGCAAATGTACACTATAAATATAAATTACTTAAATTACGCATGAATCTTTATATTGATGACATAAATTTTAATAGACAATATAATTTTGCAATTTAGAGTGATAATACAATTAATTAGTTAGAAAAGTATCACAATTATTTTTATTATTGTTATTGCAATTGTTTATGTGATTTTAAGGTGTTTAATTATGACACTCATAGCAATTAACTAATATTAGAGAAAAATCGCTTAGTAAGACGAAAAAATAATATTTATTGTAGAATAAGTATTTTAAAGAAAAAAAATGGCAATACAATTTTTTATAAGTACGTAACTCTCATAAAATATTTAATGTAAATTTATAATTAGTTAGTCTTAGTAGTAATTATTATATAATAAATTAGAAAATTACTATTACACTTTGTTAATGTATTAATATAAAATGTAACGGTTCTATATTAATTGAAAAAATGAGCAGGAAACCTATAGTTGTTTTATTAATTAGGTTTATTTATTGCTTGTCAGAATTATATAAATATATAGATTTATTTTATATCAAAGAAATAATTAATGTTTTATATGAAATGTTGATGTCAAATCAAAAATCACTGAAAGAATATTTATTTGATATATTATTATATAAAATGAGTAAGTGAAATAAATATTATTAATTTTTTGTTTAAAAATGGTATATGAATACGCAATTTAAATTAAAAGACAAAGTTAACAAAAATAGTATAAAATATTTAACCCAAGAAGATTCAGAATGGTTAGAATCATGAATGAGATATATAATAGTTGATATGAGCAGATATACTTATACCTTAATGTGTAATGCAGATAAAAGTAAAAAAGGTAAAAAAATAAATCCAATTTTTAATATGCATAAAGAGCAGAAAAATGCATTCTAAATACGGAATGTCTTATTCCTGTCACATATATATTATGAAAAATAAGGCACGTTGAATAATTATTATACAAGCAAGTCACGTGATATACCTTTTTCTTCTTGGTTGATGGCAAATTAGAGGAACTTTTTTTAACTCAAATTCAACTCAACCCAACTCTCCTCAATATTATCAATATAATTAAATATTTATACAAATCAATTATCCCCACACATTACACCAACTTTAATTAACTATTCATTCACTTACATAATTTTAACTACTCATCACTTCAATCACTCTCTCCTACTTTTACTATCAAAAATCCCGCTCAAACCTAACTCAACCAATATTTTCAAAATTAACTCTGGTACAAAAAGGATCCAATCAAAACTCAAATAATTTGTATTCACGCACACTTAGCTTTCGCATTTTATTGATATTAACTAGTTCATTTTGGGCCTTACTTAACCAGCATCAGTTCTCTACTTCAAGGACATTCTTCATTTTAATTAAAAGAGATTGTTGGAAAATATGATCGGTAGTCACAACGTAATTGTGTTATTAGGGTGCTTGTCCCACGCCTGAACTAGGGTTGGCCAAGTCATCCAGATACAAATGTCGGCATTTAAACTTGGACCTAAGAAAACGTATGAAGATAACCTATTGTTGGTACTCATGAAGCCTAAATGAAAGGGAATAGGTACCTCAGCTCCCAAGCCTTTGACATATATGTTTGTAAAAAGTTGTGACGAATCAGGGAAAGGACTCTCCTGCAAACAAGATTTAAACAAAAGTGTTATTAGAACTGAAGTTCATGCGTGCTCAACCCAATTCAATCAGACATGAAACTGCGAAAATTCTAACCTTAGCTTTTGCAATAGCATCATCTACCTCTTTTCTTATTTCTTTCTCAGTGTCCTGAAGCATAGAACAATACAAAATTTTATCATCAGCAGATCAGCTCATTCCTCAATTTTAAAAAAAAAAAATAGAAAAAAAGAAAGAAAAAAGGTTTTGCCAAACTATTCATTCAATACTAGAAAATTAGAAAAATTGCACCATTCGTCCAATAATTATACCCGAATTGCACTTTCGTCCTTTAATTATTATTTTTTTTACTTTTGGTACACTATCATTTTTTTTGGCAATTTTTGTCCAAATCGAGGTTCCAGTACTCATTTTTGCCGGAAAGCTGTCATTTTTGCCGGAAAGCTGATGTGGCGCCAATCGGATTGTGCGCCACATCATTTCGGCAAAAATGAGCACCGGATCCTCGATTTGGAAGAAAATTGCCAAAAAAAATGATAGTGTACCAAAAGTAAAAAAAAATAACTAAAGGACGAAAGTGCAACTCGGATATAATTAGTGGACGAATGGTGCAATTTTTCCCTAGAAAATTCAAAATTTCTATTGAATGTAATGAGAAATGGTAGAAGATATCTGCTTTCAGCAAAGTAACCCTCTCGATACTTAACTAAAAATATAGAGCATGCTATATTATTACCTTTAGTTCTTTTTCAGTAGCTAGATCATGATGTAGTATCAGCTTTCTGATTCTCTCAATTGGATCACGCTCCTGTTGGAAAAGCAAATCAAGCACGCACAGGATAAGAATTTAAGTAATGAATCATTATCATAAGAGAATATCTACACTATGTCACCTGTCTGATACCGCTAATTTCATCACGTGTACGATATGTGCTTCCAGGATCAGACATGGAGTGTCCATGGTACCTGTAAGTATCCATTTCAAGGATCTGAACGGAAACAAGGACCCAAGGCAGATTAATTAGTGTTCTAAAAATTGGAGTTCTTGAACAGGGTGCTTAGATGGGCTTCACAGGGTGGTTCAATGAAAACCACATGGGTGGTATGCCGCCGCGTTTAAAATGTGAACACTTGCTCCATTTTTTATATTTACAGATTTACCTATCTCTATGGGGGAAAGTACAGCTATAATCTCACTAGTGACGCACAATGACATTCAATAGGATCCGACAATATTAGAATGGGTTGTGCATGTGATTAAATGATCCATCTATGTGAATAATTTTGGGCACTTAGAAAAGTAGATCAATGAGTAGTCAGTCTCAGTTCCTAGCAATTAGTATTGAATTCGAGCTGAGTGGAGTCCTGCAGACAGTGGTCATATCTCTTACAGTTTTAGGTAGCTTTGGCTATCTTCAGAAAGCCTTTACGTGCCTATTTTTATACGAGTTACATTATAACTATTATTAGTTTTATGTATATACATTGTTTTAGCAGTTCTTAATTATGAGTATTTCTTATTCACCACACAATTAAGGAGAAGAAAACACGAATAGCCTGCAATATTTCTATTTGATAATTTTTTGGGGCTCATTCTTCATAGTAGCATGCTCTCAAGTGTATAATTGAACGGAATTTCATAGTGAAAGACATAACAGATTGATATCTTGGTCTCCCATTCCCTAATAAGCAATAACATACACTGAATTTGTAGACCCTGATTGGTTAGGAACTATTTATTTTACTCCATGCAGTTTGTTCCTTACCTCTCACAGGCTCATATTACATCTTATGATCTACATATAAACACATCTTTTACAAACCAATTTCAAAAGATACCTAGAAGGAATAAAGAAAACAAAAGGAACCTTCCAGGAGAACGGCAAACAGAAGAAAAGAAGGTAAAGGTAGGGTGCATATAAGTATGTTAGTTATCACCAGAATATGCAAAAACTAGAGATGCTTCAAATGCATTTTTTCTTTTAGCTACAATTGTGACTTTGAAGCTTGCTACAACTACGAAATAATGGCCAAGAACATAAGTGAGTAGATGATGATGAGGACTACCAAGAGTCCATGAACAGTTATAAATGTATCCAAACACGGCAGAGAACTTAACTATGCACTTACAATGGGTCCATTCTTTAAGGCGTACTCCTTTGCAAACTTGCATGCTTGTTTCACGGCAAGGACATCCATACCATCCACCTGTTACAACACAAATATGCACCACATTTATCATGGAAACAAAGATACTGACCTATACTCAGACTTTTGCTTTTTACTTTCATCATTCTTCCACAAATCAATATCTCCAGTATTATTAAGCTACATGTAGAAGTAATCTTTACTTCCCAGTTAAAATAGCACATAATTTAGATGGAAAAATGAATTGATCTCAATTACCTCGAAACAAGCATTCTGAAGATAAGGGGATATATAAGCTTGGTTTCAGAAAGAAATGTGACACCTATATATTCAGTCCTTATTTATCAACAAAAGCACCACATGGTTCTCGTCAGATACACGCGAATCAAATTATCGGATAAAAATCTGCAATGTATAACTTGAATAGGTCAAGAAAACAGATCCGCATAGACATTCAGCTCAATCTGAGTTTACAGATCTGGGAGTTTTTGTTCTTGAGTTGAATTTTTATTTTCTTGTGTCTTTCGGGTATTCTCGGCTGTGTCTGGGATTTTTGCCCCTTTAATGGAGTGTTTTTGTCCCCCTTTTGGTGGGTGTTCTTAGGTGTTAGCTTCTTGTTCCCTTTGGTAGTTCATGTAAATTCAAAGGGATGTGTGTCTGGCTTGTATTGGTTTGATTATATTTTAATAATATTCGTCGTTTCTAGCAAAAAAAAGAAAAAGAAAAAGAAAACAGATGTAAACCAATTGCTACAGAACTATCACTTTCAGAACCCAAGAATTGAAATTCAAGCAACATGAACATGCAAAATAAATGAAAAAATAAAATAATTTATACATCAGAAGTGAAACTGAACATTTGCAACCAGAGACTATAGCATTTTTCTGCATTCTGAATCCTTAAGCTTTATATGTATTGGAAATTTAGAGAGAGAGAGAGAGAGATGCAGCCAAGAATCCAAGACCACAGTGTGTTACAGTTCTAAAGATTACTTGGTTAACTGTATCTTTGCATTCAAGCAATCATATTGGAACAACTTTTCCTTCGCTAGTAATGCAGTGCACATATTTTTGCTGTATTATTCCACCTACAACATCAGCAAGTTGAAATAAATACACATTCCATGAAGTGAACAATATTTACCTTCAACCCTGGAACATAATCACCTCTCTTGTAATAAGCTGGACTCTTGGCCGCCCTCCATTCTGCCGTGCCCATTCCATCTGTGAACAGTGACCCAGTATAATTAACTAAGCAGATATCTTTAATCAATATAAAATTTTAACCACGAGTGGAGGTTACCTCGACTATAACACCAAATAGAAAAGCATATATTGAAAACAACACAGACCAAATTAAAATCCCAAGTCATACAAAACAAAAATCTTTATAGCATAAGTCAGAAATTCTCTAATTTTCTTCACACAAAATGCAAGTGAAGAGAATCATGAAACATTGGAGATATCCAACTGTGCTTCCACAACAATGTCAAGATAAACCAAACAACCCATCAATCCGACCGACTTGTTCTTTACAAGTAATTCAGAAAGAAACTCTACCGAAACTGCAATAATTGTTCAACAATGAACCAAAATAAATGTTCATCATTCCCCAACATCTCATGACTAACAAACTGAAAACCAAACGGGGGAGAGAACACAGAGGAAATATGCTGATTCTATAATTCAGCAGACATCTTACATCAACTATTTTCACCATAACTCAAACAATTCTACCATGTATGGCACTTCACGTAACAACTGATCGCACATATCCCTAACTACTACTGTAAACAGGATTTAAAGACAAGGGAACCGAATTATGTAAAACTAATGTTTAATAGAACTAATTTCATTTCTTTTCTTCGCAAGCATCTTACAGTGATTATTCTCGCAGACCAAAATAGCCGGCAAATCCCAAAGGGCTGCCATATTCAGCGCCTCAAACAGCTGCCCCTGGTTGGCGGCTCCATCTCCATACAACACGAAACTCACGTTCTCATCTTTGCTGTACTTTTGCCCAAAGGCCAGCCCGCACCCCAAGGGGACCTGAGCCCCAACAATCCCGTGCCCTCCGTAAAACCCTCCTTCCTTCTTGTAAAAATGCATCGACCCACCTTTCCCCTTCGAGCACCCATCCTTTCTCCCCATGAGCTCCGCGAACGCCTCCAGGAGCGTGCCTCCACGGCCCAGGAAGATGCAGTGGTCGCGGTACGCGGTGATTATGCAGTCCTTTCTCGTAATTGCCGCCTCCATACCCACGGAGACGGCCTCCTGGCCGTCGTACAGGTGACAGAAACCGCGGATGAGCTTCGCCTTGTAGAGAGAATCGGCGGCTATCTCCATGCGGCGCATGAGAGCCATATCGCGGAAGAAGGTGAGGAGCTCTTGGGGTGTGGTCTCGACGGAGCGGGAGGGGGGCTCGATCTTGTGCGCGGTAAAGGGGAGGGAGGTCTCGACGACGATTGGGGAGGTGGAGGCGGTGGCGAGGTGGCGGGCGGGGATTAAGGCGGCGGAAAGGGCGTTCCGAAGGGCCGCGGCGCCGTGAGTCAGCTGGGCCATGACTGCCGTTGAATCTTTAGCTGACTTCTGATCCGACAGCGAGGGGTCGTCGGTGTGTGTTTTTGTGTCTGTTGCGAAAGTGAAGGGGTGGTTTGGTGGGGAGGAGACAGATAAACATAAACCGCAGAACAGATAAAAATTGAAAATGCAGAGACTTTGAGTTGAGTAAAAATATATTGGGGAGAAAAAGGTCAGCGATTTTTTGCGGATAACGTTCAAAAGCAAAGCTTGCCAACAAAAGGAACTTCTAATGGCAAAGGGGCAAAACAATGTGAACTTTTGGAATCCTATCATACAATCAAACATCCAAAAGGAAGTTTATGGCAACAACAAACGTCCTTAAGGAAAACTTAATGTATCCAAAAGCCTCAATATCAAAGCTTCCTCAATTATTTGATTTCTTCCACATATCACTCAAACTACTTTCTCCCATATCACAAAATAATCAACCTACTCTCAACCAAGCAACAAAAATTTGAAAGGATATAAAATTGTTATTTTGTAATATATCCTTATTTTTAATATAGTTTTAATAATGAAATCGTAATCATATTTAATAATAACAAAATCAATAGGATTTAGGGTTTACGATTTAAAGTTTAGTTATGAAATGTTATTAATATCTTATTAGTTTATAGATAATTATGATAGTCGTGAATGGACCTCACTTAAACTATTAATTCAACAGAATGGACCTTACTTTTTAGTGAATGGAAATAGAAGTATTGTATGCACATTCCTGTTTATATATTACGGGTTCAGAGTATTAGTCATGGTCATGGGCCGGCCCAGCCTGCCGGTTCAACCCGAACCGATCTTGAACCGACCTGTAGTCAACAGGCACGAAACCGAGTCCGTAGTTTGACTGGGCCGGTTCTGGGTCTCATGTATAAACAAATTTGACCCCGCGGGCAAGGTCTAGGCCGACCCTCGAGACAGCCCCCCATATTTTCCTTTGTTTTAATATGTGGATTGGGTCGGGTCGGCCCGTGACCCGGTATTAGATCGTTGGCAGTCCACTAATCTGGGCTGTTGAAAGCTTTTGACAGTTGGAGATCCAACTGTCAGATTTTTTTGTTTTGTTTTTTTAAAATTCGGTTTCTTAGTCCAGGCCTGGGTCCGGTTTCAACCCGACCCGCCGGTTCCACAACAGTTGGCCAACGGTCAGATTTTCAAATTTGATTGTTGGATCATCTTAACCGTTGAGATCCAATGGTCAAGATTTTGCCAACCCGCCCATCGGGCAGACCCGAACTCGGACTCGGCGGATCCTGTAAATTAAAAAAATCAAAAAAAATTCAAAACATCAAAAAATAAATCCGAAAACATCGCAAAAAATACTATAAATACTCCTCCCCTCCCCCCGGCCAAAAAAAAAAGAGGAAGAAAGAAACAGATTTTTCACACTTTTCACAACATCTTCCGCTTTTCTCTACTCTTTTCTAAGCTCTTGAAGTGTTAATTTTTAGCCCTTTGTGCTCAGTTTTTTATAACTGATATATTATGGCAAAGGAGAAACACATTAGATTTGTGTTATAATATATTTTATGTCATATTTGATCCTATATAATTTGATAATTTTTAAAATACAAATAAAATATAGTAATAACAATTAAGCTTCACTTAAATTTCATGCTTAGTAATCTTGATCTCCAATTGATTTTTTTTTGTTTAAAAAATAAAAAATAAAAAGGGGGTTTAGGGTTTATTTATGAAATATAATAAATATCTTATTAGTTCATAGCTAATTATGATAGTTGTGAATAGACCTCGCTTGTTGATCCAACAAAATGAACCTCACTTTTTAGTGAATCAAAGTAGAGGTACTGTATGCATGTTTCTGTTTATAACTTACAAGTTCAGAGTACTAGTCATTGCGATGGGCCGGCCCAACCCGTCGGTTGGACCCGAACTGACCGAATCACCCCCGAATCGGCCCGTGGTCAACAGCCAGAACCGAGCCCGTAGTTTGACCTGGCCAGTTATGGGCCTCATGTATAAAAATTTTTTGCCTGACGGGCTGAGTCAGATCAAACTTCGAGATGGCTTGCCATATTTTTTTCTCTACTTTTTTTTAATTTATTTAATTTGTGGACCATGTCGGGCCGGTCCAGCCGGTTGCCCGGTATTGGACCGTTGGCAGCCTGCTAATTTAGGCTGTTGAAAGCTTTTGACAAAAGGGCAACACATTAGATGTATGTTATTAATATATTTTATGTCACCTTGTATCTTATATAATATGATAAATTTTAAAATGCCAATAAATTATAGTAATAACAATCAAGTTTCACTTAAATTTCATGTTTAGTAACACTTGCTCTTCAATTGATCTTTTCCTCTTTAAAAAAATATTTAAAATTGGGGGTTAAGGTTTAGGATTTTGTTTTGAAATATAATTAATATCTTAATAATTTATAGATAATTATGATTAAAAACTAATTAAAAAAATCCTCCCTCTGCCGACAAAAAAAACCCCCAAATCCATCGTCTTCAACCTAGGCCCGATTGCCTTCCTCTGTGACGATCTGACGCCGGCCAGTGGTCGTTTTTGACTGCTCGGCCCGGCCCTAGGTTCGCAAGTCTTCACTCTCCCTGCTGGTGTTGCGATAAGTAGATCTCTTCGTCGTCGGTGCGCTGCGTCGAGCTCCCTGGTCGCCGGCTGTCTTTGATTGGAGGAGGGAAGCTTCGAGCTTCGATCTGCTTCTGGATGGCACTCTGTCATGTCCTCTGGTCGCCTTCGCTGTTCACGGCGGGGCCTCCTGCGGTTTGGGCTCTGGTCGCCGGCGAGTTGCAGCGGTGTTGGGAAGTGAGTGAGCCGAGGTTGGGCTGGGACTCCGGAAGCTGTGGCAGTCCGGTTACGGCAACCGGAGTTGAGGTTATGAGCCGTCCTCACCCTCCCTCGTTGGCTAGTGGTGTTAGGCGGCGGGAACTCGAGCTCGTCTAGTGGTGTTAGACGGTTTCGGGCCGGGCTTGTTGTGGGGGCGGTTTGTTCTCTTCTCGGTTGGTAACGGGTCGATTCTGGGATTGGTTCGGGCTCGACGTTGGCTATTGTATAGGCGATTGCGCAGTTTCGGTAGTGGTTCTTCGGGCTTGGAGTCTCTCTCGTGTCGATTGTTCACTATTGGTTGGGTCGGTTCGATTGCAGTGGAAGGGCTTTGTGTGTTTTAGTTTTGTAGTTCTTGTTTTGAGTTGTGAGTGTTGTTTTGTGTTAGTTTATGTTTTAGTTAAAGTGTTTTAGGTTTGGGCCCTTGGCCCCTGTACACCCGAGTGTCATTTTCATTACCCTGTGGGGGTCCGACACTCGGGAATTACCCTGTGGGGGTCCTGTGTTGTTGTGTTTAGTTGTTTTGGGTGTCTTTAGTTTCTAGAGTATTACCCCGTTGGGGTCGGTTCTAGGCGGTCTTTTGACCTGTCCTCCCAGTTTTAGCTATTGGCTGCTTGTATTCAGTTGTTGACTGCTTGTAATCAGCCGGTGGCTGCTTTCTGCACAGTTGTGCGTTATATATATTACCTCTATCGTTTCGGCAAAAAAAAAAAGATAATTATGATAGTTGTGAATGGACCTCATTTACACATTGATCTAATATAATGAACTTCACATTTTAATGAATCAAAGTAGAGATATTATATGCATGTTCTTGTTTATTTTTTTACGAGTTGAGAGACTAGTCACAACCACAGGCCGGCCGAGCCTGTCAGTTCGACCCGAACCGACCCTAAAATGGCCCGTGGTCAAAAGGCTCAGAACCAAGCCCGTAGTTTGACCTGCTGGTTCTGGGTCTTTGGCTCAGCGGGCCGGATCCAAGTCGGCCCTCGAGACAGCCCGACATATTTTTCTTTTTTTATTTAAACTTTACTTAAATTTGTTGATATTTTTCTTAGTCTTATTATATATTATAATTAAAATGGTATGAAAGGTTAAATAACTATTATTTTAAGGAAAGCTGTATTATATTTTATTTAAAATTTAAATTTTCAATTTTAGTTGCACAAATTTAGTCTTAATTAAAATTTAGAGTTCGGTTTTTGTCCGAATCGGTTGGTTTTCGATTTTATTTTTGTAATTTTTCAGTCGATGTCGGTTTTCGGACATCAAATGCCGCGGGCTGGCCCGCTATAAAAATAATAAAAGTTGTAGGAGGCAGGTATCCCACCTAGCCCAACACTTGGCCCAATTTGAAAAAACCCTACAGCCCAAGTTTCTAATCTCCAAATTCTTACAGCCCAAACAAACCAAATGTCCAAATCCATCACCTCTCACCCAACTCCCATTTCCTCTCTCAAAACAATGGTCTTTGTGTTTTTTCTCTGTCTTGGCTTTGGAGTCCCTCCATCTTCCGATTTCTTTCTATTGGTCTGATTACATCTAAGCCTCACACTGCTGGTCAAATGTTTTTAAGTTATTTTCAGCTCATACCCTGATTATATGACAAGAAAGTAGCAATAATGCAAAGCTTCACAATAACTCTCCTGTATTTTCCCATCTTGAAAATAATCCGTAAAATCTTCATATTCATACTGTAAATAGTTAAATTATACAATTTTATTACCACATTTCATAAAAGTAACTATTAATAATAATCATAAATCATATAGGTGATAAACAAATAAAACTATAAAATTCAGTTGCAGAAAAACAAGCTTTGGTGTTCAGACGCTTGAACTGCATATAAGTCTTACGTTTAGACGTTTCATAGGCTTCAAAGCTTTATATATTTACGTTTCTTAGGTGTTGCCCTTTATAAACTGGACGTTTCACTTCACAGTCGGGCTTTCGAATTAGACGTTTTATGTGTCATGTAGCCTGGCGATAAAACATTTACGCCTTATATAAGCTTAGCTAGCAAACGCTTAGGCCATGTTCAAGCTTTTAACTGAGACGTTTATTGAATGAATTTAAACCCTAACCTACATCTGTTATCACTTTATTCATTTTACCGTCCTGATCAACCCATCACATTCGTTTAATGTAACATATATGAGGGTTTAATGATGTAAGTCTTAAAATAATTTCAAACATTCAAAATTCAAGAGACCCATTTGTGAGTTAAAATCAATGTAAAAAAAAAAGGGTTGACACAATTTACTTCATTTGCAAGTGAAAATCAATGTAAAAAGAATATTAGGGGTTAACACAATTTACCTTATTTGCAAGTGTTCTTGATGATGTTGGATTACCAGACATGTGGATTAATAAAAAATAATGTGAAGATTGGTAGGCTAATTTATAATGAAGAGGAAAAAGGAGATTGAAGATTGTGCTCCCTCAGCCGTCGTCCGGGCAGCGTCGGTGGACGGCCTCCACCACTCATCCACGGCTCATCACCTTCGCCATCGGCCTGACGCCACTGGGTAAAGGCTAGGGTTTCGGCGGACTTTCTTTCGCTTGATGGCCGCTGGAATTCAGTGGAATCGGGGCTCGGCGGGGTGCTGAGGTGCGTGGATGAGGCTTGAGTTGCTCGAATTTGCTCTGTTCGGGGTGTCTCTGAGTGCCCGGCTTGGAGGTAAGCCCGTCTCTTTTCTTTCCGGTTGCGCCGGGGTCGGGTCACCGACTCCTCTTATGTGCGGCGGGGATGGGTCGGGTTATTTCTTGCGGGCTGGGATGATTGGATGTCGCTTTGTTCGGGCTGGGTCGTAGCGGCTGAGCATAGACGCCACTCTACCCCTTTCTCCCCTTTCTCGGCTTACGAGTTCGTGGGAGGCCGACTGTTTTGGGAAGCAGGCTAGTGGTGATAGTCGATCTCGGGACGGTGTCGGTTTGGCTAGTGGTGTTAGCCGGTAGGGAGAGATAGTGGCTTCTTGTGGCTGGAGTGCGGGTCGATTTTTCGGTTTGTTTTTGAGGCTGGGATCATCGTCTTGCTAGGCCTTATGCAGTGGCGGGCCTGGTATCAGAGCTTCGGAGCTCTCTTCGGAATCGACTTAGTCTGCCGTCCTCTTCGGATGTATTTGCTGAGGGAGGCTGTGTTGTTAGTTTGGTTGTTTTTGTTTTTAGTGTGTTCGTTTGTGTTTGTCATTTGTGTCGGTGATTGTGTTTGTAATTGTGTTTTAGGTTTGGGCGTTTGCCCCTGTGAGCCCGAGTGTCAACTTATTATCCTGTTGGGATCCGACGCTCGGGCATTACTCTGTTGGGGTCTTTTTTAGTTGTTTTAGTTGTTCGAGTTGTTGGTTAGTTTAGTTGCGAGTGTTTTATTCTAGCGTTGCTAGACGGGATTCTAGGCGGTCTTCTGACCTGTCCTCCCACTTTTTCAGCTGTTGGCTGCTGTGTATTCAGTCGTTGGCTGCTGTGTATTCGCACATTTGTGCATTTTGATTTATAATAGTATTTCGGAAAAAAAAAAAAGAAGATAGTGGATTTTAATAAAAGTAAGAAAGAAGGAGATTGGTGAAAATATAAATTTTAGTAAAAGTGCGTCTAATTAAGAGTCAACAAATAACAATTTAGTAAAAAATAGTAATTTACGTAAAAGTGGATAAAAATATTTTTATTAGAATAAAAATATAATTTCAATTATTATTATTATTTTTTTGGAAAATGCTACAATCCCGTTACGGAAAATGCTACAATCCCGTTACGGAATCATTCCGTTGGGATTGTAACCGTTAGATCATCAAGTAACCGTTAATGATGCTTAATCTAACGGTTACAAATCCTAACGGAATGGTTCGGTAACGGGATTGTAGCCTTACCCTATTTTTTTATGTAGTAATTTGGGGGCAAACAAATATCAACAACCTTTGCAATTTTTGCCGGTGGTAACCCAAAAGTTACTTAACGAACAGAAAATCGCCTCTCAATTTGTCACCCGCCATGGCCGCACTCCCTATTTCTCTCTCTCTTACTCTATCTTCACTGGCCAAAAGGCCCAGCAGCAAGCCCTCTCTTTCTCTCTTCAAGCATTTTCTCTATTCCCGACCTTTACAGCTGTTCCAGCCCAACATCTCCTCTCACTTCACAGCCCTCTACAAACTTCCGAGCGCCAATTCTCCGGTCGAATCATCTCCTCAGCTCTCGGACGACGACAACGACCCAGACTTCGATGAAGAGGACGACGAAGATGACTTGGTTTCGGAGGAGTACGAGGCAGTTTCTATCGATATCGAGGACGCCAGTGAGCAAGACGAAGATGATGAAGACGACGAGGAGAATGCTGGTGTCGGCGTGAGCGGCCGCGACTCGAGATATGAGGAGTTCAAGTGGCAGAGGGTGGAGAGGTTTAGGAATGAAGTGAGGGAATTCGGCAAGGACATCATTGATGTCGAGGAGCTGGCCTCAGTTTATAACTTCAGAATTGATAAATTTCAGGTTTCCTTTCTTTTCATTTTTGGATTTTGTGTGGGTCAAAAGTGATGTAGTATGTGGTGTAAGATTCAAACTTTAGTATTTATTCCAAGGCATAGATGCACTAGGCCTATTGTATTGGGTTATTTTCAAAGCTAGCGCTCATCGTATCTGTTTGAGGACATGTGTGATCCTTAAGACTTCCTATTGGTGAAGAAAATGATGACACACAGTTCATCATATGGTTTTTTTAGGAGAAACCTTTAAAAATGTTCGTATACGTACATTATTGCGAAGTGAATGTGTGTGTGTATTATTTAAGTGACTTCTTTTCCGCACCTTCTGAACTTCACCTATCTTTGCGCTTAATATGGCCATCTTTTTTATCTAATAGAAAATATAATGAAATTTTGTTCAGCTTTGTTACTTGGGGATAGTAGTAGATCTTCAAATAAACATATATGTCAGCACTCCAAGCCATATTCTGTGAATGCGTCCGTACACACGTCGTGGATTTGTTCATATCTATGTTAAACAGAGTAAATTACTCTATGCTTCAAGTGCACATGTAACGACTCCGTGGATATTAACAGATTGTATTGTAGAATGTGTCATGCATTAGTGCGAAGTTTTTATTTATTTATATTTTTTTAGCGATTGGCTATCCAAGCATTCTTGAGAGGTTCTTCAGTTGTAGTTTCTGCACCAACGAGTAGTGGAAAAACCTTGATTGCCGAATCTGCAGCAGTTGCTACTGTAGCCCGAGGAAGGAGATTGTTCTACACTACTCCTCTAAAGGCACTGTCGAACCAAAAGTTCCGTGATTTTCGGTAAGGGAATATTGGTCTCATGGGGTTGTTACTTGTAAAAGAAGGTATGCTAACTTCATTTGTGTGGTTTCACAGTGAGACATTTGGTGATGCTAATGTTGGGCTCCTTACTGGCGATTCTGCTGTCAATAAAGATGCTCATATTTTGATAATGACCACCGAGATTTTGCGCAACATGTTGTATCAAAGGTAATTATACATCTTGGTGCTTCATTATTTAATCACTGTTGAGTTGCGTAAGATCACATCTCTATGGAGAGAACGGTATGGAATCCAACATTATATAAATTTATTTGTAAGTTGGTGATAACATTTAGCCCATATCTGGTTCGTGGAACTATGAAGGAGGATTATATTTTCCGAATGGAAGGTTCATTTTTTTTTAGTTCCTTATATCTTCTGCATGTCAATCATGGTACATGTTTTTTTAATGCTTCCAGAGTGGTCATGGGTTGACATTGCATAAACAGATACTTAGTACTGTTTTCTAATGGATAAGCTTTTGCTTCAGTGTTGGAATTGATTCCTCTGAAAGTTCACTTGCCCATGTGGATGTGATTGTCTTGGATGAAGTGCACTACTTAAGTGACATGTCTCGGGGTACTGTTTGGGAAGAGATTGTAAGTGAATTCTAAAAATACGTATTTGAAAACTGAAGTTATTTAAGCTGATGTTTTTACTCAATATGTGTAGGTAATATATTGCCCCAAACAAGTGCAACTAATATGTTTGTCAGCAACTGTTGCAAACCCAGATGAGTTAGCAGGTTGGATTGGTCAGGTACTGGATATACTTTGGCTAGCATCCATTTTTTTATCTACGCCGTCGATTAATATATTCAGAAATAAGTGGAATTCAACAGATTTTGGTACAGATATTTGCTTGAGATTTGGTTGTTTTGAAAGATGTGATAATTAATGCCCCTAGTCAAGAAATGGCAAGCAGCTTCACTGTCGTATTGGTATCCCGCTTGAAATAAAGTCCTTAACATTCTAATCATGGTTGATGTGGATAATTTATTTAGAAACTACCAATGAGTAGAAAAAACAATTGAATAACTATAAAATAAATAGAGAAGTAGAAAGTCTAGGGCGTCGGGAATCATCTCATTAAGTCCTAAAATCTATGTCGAGCTTATGGTTGTTCGGTCTACTGAGATTCTTATCTGCTAGCAGTTCGCTCCCAACAACTATTGTAACAAGGGATTGAACTTAAACGAATAAATGATATAACACACACAAGCCTAGAGATCCGCTCTCGATACTTTTACGAACACGAGTTCGGATATAGGCAGATATATATTTAAGCCAATGAACCCATAAACAATTCAATTACGAACATGTCAAGCTTATTCGAATTATGGTTAGATATTCTATCCCCTTCCTTTTCTAGGTTATCAATCTAGACTAGATGTTGTTTTAACAACTTATATTCAAGCAATTCGAACGGGTATGAACATCCCGTTCAACTTAAACTTGAGACGAGAATTGAAAATCCCTAGGTGGATGAATTATCTCGATTGAATTCCATGTTAATTGAAATTGAGAACTCGCATCTAATCAATGATAAGAATGGAGAAAAGAAAACTTACAATAACGAAGAAATTGCAAGTGTTTGTTCCCAACGTATTCGGCTCCAACAATTCGATCACACATCAAAAGTAAAAATGGAGAAAATCATACGAAGAAATATTTAGGAGGAGTTTTGCTGTTCCCAAGCCTTGGAATTGGTCCCGAGCTGTTCTAGGTTTGTTCAAGGATGTCTTGATGATCTGACTTGAGTTGCTATTTAAATGAGTTCGAAATGGGGTCGAAAATCCCTCCAGGTGCGTCCAAGTAGCAACATCCGTTGCGGGCGCGAGTTCTGTCGCGGGTGACGGGTGCGAGCGACAGGGCGTGCGATGCTCCGGTGCCGGTGCGAGACAACACGCCCGTCACGAGCGACTCCTGGGTTCGAGTCAGCTCGTGAGCGCGACACTTTGCCCATTGCGGGCGCAGAGCTGCTCGCGGACGCGATGCTTTACGCAACCTGGCAGCTAGGCGCGAGCGCGCCTAGCGTGTGTGGAGTTGCTTTCACTGCGTTCGCGTTGCCTGCGCGCAATGTCCGTCGCGCGCATGACTCATGGCGTGGCAGCTGGTTGTCCGTGCGGTTTAGTCAAGTGGGTCACGCACCGTGATGCTTGTCAAGTTAGTTTTGGTCCTGTTCCGGCGATGATTCCCGACAAAGTTGTCCGAGCAACATTTTACTACAAAATAAAATAAAAGTAGGGGACAAAACTACAAAGTATGCAAATTACACGAAAATACATAAATGAGCAAAATCAATCTAAAAAATTGAGCTCAAGTGAACTCGAATGGTGACTATAAGAACACCAAAAATAATAATAATACATACAAAACATAAGGTGCTCCTGAATGAGTCATCCAATATTCGCTTGTGTGCAATTTCATATTTTATCTACAATGACTCCTATTTAAACTAGTTCCATTTATTTGTATTTTCTGTCATCTTTGTTTTAGTTTCTTGCTGGACCTCTTTCTGATTATGAACCATTTTCTTTGGCGATGCTTCAAGATTCACGGAAAAACTGAATTGGTCACATCATCCAAGCGTCCTGTACCTTTGACTTGGCACTTCTCGACAAAGACATCACTGTCACCACTTCTTAATGAGAAAGGCACTGGCATGAATAGGTGATTTTCGATCATTGACTCTCTTTGTATAGACAACTGTTCCATTATTCCATGATATGTTATCTTATTTTAATGAGTTATCAAATATGTCGTATTTGGAATAGGAACAGGCTATCGCAATCTTCATCTAGACCTATCATAATTTCATGCGATAGAGCGAGAGAGGGTAAAATGAATATACATTAAGGGCGTGTTAGAATATAAATATATCCGTTCAAACTAAGTTTCTTTAGTTAACCATAGTTAATTTTGAAAAAGATGGTGTGGTTAGTTGTTGGTGGAATTTTAAGTTTATATCAAATAATATTTAAAATAAAATAATTTAAGTTGATTTGATGTAAAAGTAAGAGAGAGCTGATGCGAAGTGATGGTTAGTTAAAATTATGTGAGTGGAGAATAGTGAAATAAAGTTGATGTGATGTGTATGAATGATTGATTAATATTATTTAATTATATTGATAATATTGAGGATATTAGAGTTAAGTTTAAGTTGAGTTGGATTTTGAGTATGTATTGAGTTATTTTATATACAAACACACACTATGACTTCCATTTTGAATTTTGTGCTTCAATCTCTACTCTAATTGGGTAAAATTTTAAAGACGTTGATATTGCAATTTTATTGCAAGACTTGTTGACATAAAGATTCTTTGTTGGAAAAATCTAAAGGAGAATAAGAATATTAGAAACCCTATCCGTTTAGCTTTTGGAGAGGTAACTCGCGAAATTTCAGGAGCTACATTGTGACAACTCGAAACATTATAGTCAACGGCGTTTAATGTCGGATGGCGTTACATGGTGGATTGTCTAAAATCCACCATGCCAAACCGTCATGGCTGCTTACCGCGTGCAACCTCATCACCACCGCGCGTGGAGAGAAGCCTTGTGGGCCACGAGACTTCAATCCACGCACGCTGGTGATGGAGGGGCGCCGCCGACGAGTCTGCCTCATTCGTCGAGGCAGAGCGCATCCCCAGTTCGAGGAGAAGAACAAAACGTGCTTGCCGACACGACTGCAAGACTATCGGGGTGAAGTGGGTGTTCAAGGAAAAGAGGGACAAACATGGGGTAGTGTCCAAGCACAAGGTGCACCTCATTGTAAAAGGCTACCCACAACGACACGCCATCGGCTACGACGAGGTGTTCGCTCCGGTTGCCAGGTTGGAGAGCACCTCCTCATCGACTTTGCGGCGCAGGAGAGGTGGGAGGTACACTACATGGACGTCAAATTGGCATTCATGAACGACGACCTCAAGAAGAAGTCTATGTCGAGCAGCCGGCCGGTACGTCATTGCCGGTAAGGAGCACAAGGTGCTCAAGCTTCAGAAGGCGTTGTACGGTGTTGTAGAAACTGGAAATCAAAATATACGAGCTAAACTAAAACGAAATCAATCTTTTGAAACACCATTTTTTCATTAGCCAACAGCTTACAAAACCAGATCTCACAAAAAAGAAGAAGACGATCGCAGCGAGTACATAATGTTCCCTCAGCTCAGACTCACCCTATCAAGATGCAACACGTGGAAAATAAGAAAGTAAAGGGAAAACATAAAAAACAGATAAGAGGCGTAAACACGAGTCAATTAAGTGACTCACGCCTTTACAAGTAGTAAACATAAAGGAAAAGAAAAAAAATCGAAAATAACAAAAACTTCAGCTGTCTTCAACACCCCAATGCATGAACATGTCAACAGGTGTGCATCAAGCGCCGCAGGCTTGGAATGCAAGGATGGAGGCATAGTGATGTTGCTTGGCTTCAAGAGGAGCGCGTCAAAGCACACCATCTACATCAGGTGGAACGAGGACTCGCAATTGGTGGTCGGGGTCTACATCAATGATCTCTTGATCACCGGCTCGAGCTGCGGCGATATCAAGTCGTTCAAGAAGGATATGGTGGCCGCGTTTAAGATGAGCACCTCGGCCTACTCGACGTTGAAGTGAAGCAGAGCGCGAGGGGAATCCGCTAAGGTAGGGCGCCTGGAGAAGAGCAGCATGGTTGGGTGCAATCCCTGCCAGGTGCCATGGAGGCACGACTGAAGTTGGGCAAATTTAGCTCAGAGTCGGCAGTCGACCAGACGGCATACATGAGCATCGTCCGGAGCTTGGGTACTTGGTTAATACTAGCCCGATCTGGCTTTTGCTGTTTGCTATGTTTGTCTGTTCTTGGAAGACCCACGTGAGGATCACTTTGCTGCCGTGAAGCACATTCTGCGCTATGTGGCAGGAACCCAGGATTGGGGACTCTGGTTTGGCAAAAACGAGGAGAGAGAAGCTCACTTGATGGGTTTCAGGGGATGTTGATGCTACCAAGAGCACAATAGGGGTGATTTTCTTCCTCAGCAGCAACTCGATCACTGGCAATCCGTGAAGCAGAAGGTGGTTGCACAGTTAAGCTATAAGGCAGAATACATAACAGTTGCAAATGCCGCTAGTCTGTAAGATATAATCCTGCAGTTTTCTTGTTAGTGAAGTGCAACTTCCTTGCACTTTCATTACACTTTCATTGCACTTTCATGGCACTTTCATGGCAGCCACTTTAGGCTGATTTTTCAGCTTAAGAAATTTTTAGGAAAGCCACTAGAATAGTTGTTTTTAGTTCTTATAAATAGATGCAGTTTTATTTGTAAACATAAGACAGAAAAGCTGAATACTCAATACATTGAGTTGTTCGAAATCTTCTTCTTCTATCCTAAAAGTGTCAGTTTGTGCCGGGAAGCATTTTTGCTTACCCGAACAGTGTAGCCCAGCTGCAAACAGAGCAGCCAAGCTGTGAACAAAAGCGGTAGCAGGACTAACATAGTCAAGCGTTGTGTCGCTGGATGAGGTGTAGGGATGAGCACCAAGAGTGCCAATGCTAAGGGTGGACAACAAGTCCACTATTGCTTTAATGGAGAACCCAGTACTCCATGAACAGAGGAAGTAGGAGGGTTGGGCTTGATTAATGTCGAGTTCATCTAAGAACAACTTGGAGACATTCTGATAAAGCCGCTTGGGAGGACCAAGTTCCATGAACTGCGCTCTAAAATTGTTCTCATCAATGTTAGCAATGTGCACAAGGCTTAGGAGGAGATTGTATGAAATATTTTATTTGAGGATATAATTCTTGTGCACATATTTAGTTTATTTGCTTTCCTTAGTTGCGTGATTGCCAAAATTAAATTCAACAAACAAGATCGTGTTTTTCACCTGAGTTTCTTTTGTAATTTGGCCATTGATCTCGCCGGCATGTGTGTTGTCTCTCCGGTGTAGTTTTAACATTATTAGATTGTTTTAATGCACAGGAACCTGTCGCTCAACCAGTGGCAACTCGACTCATCAGGAGGTGACCCATACAAAGACGAGGGCTCTTGGCAGCGGAAATCAAGAAAAAATAAGCTGAACACGCCCACACGCTCCAAAAACGGCAACAATTTCAATCGTCGCTCGCAGGTATTGAAACTAGTATGTTCACTCACATGCCCTTTTGAACAGCAAAACTTAATATTCTCCTCATTTTACAACCAAAGGTTCCTCAAGTCATAGATACGCTCTGGCATCTCAAAGCAAAGGACATGCTTCCGGCAGTCTGGTTCATCTTCAGCAGGAAAGGCTGTGATGCTTCCGTCCAGTACCTCGAGGACTTCAACCTATTGGACGAGTGTGAAATAACCGAAGTCGAGCTCGCCCTCAAGAGGTTCCGCCTTAAATATCCCGACGCCGTTAGGGAATCCTCTGTAAAGGGGCTTCTTCGAGGCGTGGCTGCCCACCACGCGGGTTGTCTTCCCCTCTGGAAATCATTCATTGAGGAGCTTTTCCAGAAGGGGCTCGTGAAGGTCGTCTTTGCCACAGAGACTCTTGCCGCGGGGATCAACATGCCTGCGAGGACAGCTGTCATCTCGTCCCTGAGCAAGAGGACAGAGAATGGGCGGATCCTCTTGAATTCCAATGAGCTTCTACAGATGGCTGGCCGTGCTGGCCGCAGGGGGATTGATGAGAGGGGTCATGTTGTGGTCGTGCAGACTGCGAACGAGGGTGCGAAGGAGTGCTACAAGGCCCTCTTCTCGGGGCTCAAGCCTCTTGTGTCGCAGTTTACGGCTTCGTATGGGATGGTGCTTAATCTGCTCGCTGTACGGTATTTTTTT